TTCGACCCTGCAGCCACATACCTAGACAATTTTTCGCAAATTGTTTCATCTTAAATAACCAATATATATTATAAAAATAAACCAAATTGGCCCATAAATAAATTAGATCTATGATATTTTTTTGGGGTAGACTTTCCGCTGGAAATACCCATATTTAATTTGACGGTAATCTCAGTTCCACGATCCAGAAAATAAAGGTCGCGCCATTCGCAGACCGCTAACCCTCTCTTCGTCGATTTGACAGTATCCACCTAATCGCTGACGTCATAAAATACTTTTGTTTACATTCCCTGTTGCCAACTTCATGCCTTTCGCACCAAATTTGGTGGGTATTCAAAACGCGAAAATTTTTGAGTTTGGTGATTTTGGTGCTTTTGTTTTTAGTTTGAAGACACCAAATTAGAAAATCTTAAAAAAATGGAAGCAAAATTTATAGCAATCGTAAGTGTTGCTTACCAACTTTACAAAAATTTAAACAAAATCATGGCACAGTGACAATCATAAGCGACAACAAAATATGTGGCAGCACCTTCAATCATGCCAGAAGAAATCAACCGTCGTGCAAGAAACATTGATTTTTATTAGTTTGAATCGGCATCCTTACAATAAAATTATGTATGCATATAAAGTCTATAAAATACACTAATAAAAATTTGGTGCTTTTTCAAATTCTTTCATTCTGGTATTTATTGACGTCACGGCCAGTTGCTCTCAGCTCGATTGGCGCAATCTTGTATTCTATCATTCTTGTCTCAGTTCCATAAAATATTCGTAAAATTATTTCTCTGTCTAGACCAGGGGTGGGCAGATTTTTGGCTCTTAAAGCATTCAGTGGGCCAGCAAGTGCTACGCAAGAGGTAAATCAGTTCTCAGGATAAAGGGGTTGTGAAAAATACATTAAAAGCATGATATATATTAGTAATGACAGTCAGAGTACAAGAAATTTTAACACGCTCTTCTTCCCCCTTCATGCTGGCTCTTGGTGTTACCCCTCATCCAGCACCTAAATGTGCCAAGCCGGCTCCTAAGTGCAAAAGGCTCCTGGGAGCCACTTTGCCCACCTCTGGTCTAGACAATCACATTTGATGGATTCATCAATAGAGCCGAAAATGTGTAATACTTTATAAAATATTTTTCGTTAGTGACAGAAAAAACATCGATAGTGGTGGAAATTCAAAAATATCGGTACTATCGATAGTGCCATCGATTGTTTTCCAGCTCTACTTCAAACCGATTTAATGTTACCTGCGAATAATTAATTTTCATTAAAACCGACCATAATAATAATAGAATAATAGATCGCTTACACATATGCGTGTTAGTGTTTGGCCGAGCTTCTCCTCCCATCTGTGGCGTGCGCCTTGATGTTGTCACACAAAGGGGAGAGACCTACAGTTTTACGCCGACTCCTAACGGGATTGTATTTTTATGAGAAGCTGTTTTTCATGGCAGAAATACACTCGGAGGTTTGCCATTGCCTGCCGGAGGGTGACCTCTATTAGGAAAACTTTATTTTTATTTTTGTTGTTGTTTTGAGCCGGGCTTGACCCAGGCCCTGCGGAGTGGTAGCGCGCACTGCTAACCAATACACCACAGCGACCGCCACTTAAGGTGGAAAGTAAATGATGCAATGGTATAACAGTTTGTACAAGCGCTCCTTCCTGCATATTTCTGGGATCGAATGACCCAGAGTGGACTTTTTTCCTGTTTTTTTCACAAATCTTTAAACTTTTTCTGAAAATATAAAACTTTTTCAAATAATTTACGCCCGCGAGAACTATCAAAAATGTAAGAAACAGCTGTTTCGAAGTTCGGATTTCCTAGTCCCAAATTTTCGATGAAAACTGTACTCCCGAAGTGTTTAGAATTGGAGGATTTTTTTCTCGAGAAAAATAAAATCCTCAAGAAGAAGAACTCCAAAACCTGCAAACCTGACCGTAAATTTTAAGGATAGCTCTCAATTAGAGATGGGCGCGGGATATCGGGACCGCGGGACCCACGGTACTGATTTTATAATGGCTCCCGATACTCCCGATAAAACCTCAACCTCCGCAAATTCAGAAAACCTTCCTTAAAAAATTTGTATGAAATATGCACTTTTTATGTTTTATTGAGGCGCAAAAGAACAGCAAAAATTAAAAAAAATAATTATTTTGAAAGCCATGTGAATATTTTTAGAGATAGATTTCGAGGCCCGCGAGCGTCGGGGTGGTATTTAGTCCCATGCCCATCTCTACTCTCAATCCCTGCGCTACCTAACGGCAGACAAACACACTGATCCTTTTAAAAATCATTACGCAAAATAACAATCATTCAATGGGATTTAGAAATCTGGTAGAAAATGGTTTCCAATTAGAAGATTTTTCACATTTATATGTATGTAGATGAAAGACAACTAAGCACTTTTTTCCGTACCGTGACCTAAGGAAGACAGATGTAGCGCGTGAAATATTATTTAGAGATTTCAAGAATATAGATATTTCCGCTTTACATAAAGGAGCTTCTTCCATGAATTGGGATAGCGTATGGGTGTTTCCACCGGAAGGTCCACCACGACAAAAAAAATAAAAGTCTTATATCTAACGTATTTGCGGACCGATTTGTCTGCTTTTTAAAATATATACTGGCTATGTAAGTAGAATCATGTTTGCGTAAAATGGTCTTCCTAGGTGGCGCCAAGGTTGAGATATTTCGAAAAACCGTATTTATGGTCCGAATTGGTTCGAATTTGGCGTATGTAGTTGAAACATAATAAATCATAGATTTCCAACAAATTCACCCTGAATTGGCGCTGAAGTCAAAATATAAAGTATATTCTACATAAAATACTTGTTTTATTTGCGTTAAAAATGCATTTAAAAGCAATATTAACAAAAATATAACGATGGAATATTATGTCACGTGACGGTTGTAAAAGAAAATTGCAACAAGTTGCATTAATTCAAAAAACTCTAAAAACAACTAGAATTGCTCCAAATTATATTAAAATGAGTTTCATGAAAATAGCCATCCACAATTCGCAGAGTTCTGCGATTTTGTAAGAAAAGAAAAAATCTACTTCCATTTTTTGTCACGTAACGACATTCTCTTTAAATGCTTATATTTCAGGACCAAGCAGTTCGATTGTTTTCATTTTTCGGTTAAATATAGAGCTAATTATGTGCTATACAATGGCCCAAAAAAGTTAAAGAAAACAAATGGTATTCCTTGTTTGTATCACATTGAAACGTACGACTGTCACGTATGCGACATATGGAAATACCCATATGGTATCTTGCAGATGTCAACGACAAGTTATAACAGTTTAATATATTTGTAAATAGTTTGTTTGAGATGCATATACCCTTGCAAATTGTCGTAGGGCCAGAAATAAAGCGACGACGGCTACGCGTGAGAGTAAAAAGGTGTATTATTCTTCGAAACTTAATAGTTCCGTTCCGACCAAAATGTTGTGGAAGAACTTAAAATCCTTAGGCGTCGCTGGCAATCAAAATAATGAGTGCGGCCTTGATGAAGAGGCAATGAACAATTTCTTCTTGTCCTCTGTAAAAGACAATCAAAGCAGAAATTTTCACTGCAATCCGAAGCTATACCATAGTTTAGAAAGGGAGTTCGAATTCTAGATGGCGACTGATGCAGACATAATAAGATGCTTTTCTGCAATAAAATCAAATGATGTTCGTATTGACGGGATTGATGTCAGATTTTTAAAGATTATTCTTCCTTGGAGAGTACCGTCAGTTAAACATAATAATAAATCATTCAATAACATCCTCGATATTTCCCAACACTTGGAAAACTGCCAATGTTATACCGGTACCCAAAGTAAATAACCCTACTGAGCCTGAACACTTTAGAGCAATTAGTATTCTCCCAGTATTGTCAAAAGTGTTTGAGAAATTTCTTCACTTGCAAATATCAACCTTTAATAAGATAAGAATTACCTGAGATTCAAATGCTTATAAAAAACGGGCTGCTTTTCTGATAAGATTCGGCTGACAGTCACGACTTTGAAAACAGAATTTTGTTCAAAATTTTCATTCCTGGAAAAGAATAATTTACTTTCCATTAGAGCTGTCAAACTATCGATGGTCAAGTCCATCGATGTTTTACGATAGTCTTAAGGGTGACTATCGATAGTATCGACCCATTTCATACATATGTTTTTCTAAATCCATTTATTTTTCGTTATCTTGCTATTATAAAATTGTTTATTTTAAAGGCTCACGGTTGCATTTTAGTATCGAGAAATATTGATAGAAATTCATTCGCCGTGTAAACAGTTAAAAAGCGATTTCAGAAATTTTCCCTGCAATTCGCCTTTCGGAAATAAACAAATTTCTTTCGAAAAATACTTTACATGCAAGGTGCCACTGCTCATGCAACTGCTTTCTGAAATTTCTCAATTTGACAGTCTTTTGAAATATACTGCGTTGCCACGTCTGGCACGCTCTTAAGACGGCAATGTAACCTCTGCTATTTCCACGCTTAAAATATAAAATGATGCTCTTAGAAATAATGCCATGAACCAACTAAACAGATCACCCAGCACGGCAACCGTGTATTTGTAATTGCATTTGAGAAAAAAATAATAGTTGATAACGTAATTTTTTAATCGGTTATTTAATTCACACTCGCGGTTTAATTCCGTTTCATTCACATGGCGGCGAAAAAATGACGTCACTGTAAAATAAAAATACTTTTTTCTCGTACCCCGTCCTGGGTGATCTTTATTCGTTCGTTCAGGAAATAATGCTGCCAAGTTTTGTTCTCTTTGAACCAATACGTGCAAATGTCAAAAGCAAGGAAAGAGAATACGCTATCATTGAAACGATAGTGGCGATAGTACTACTACTACTATACTGGTATAATGTATTCGCAGCGAACTGAGTTAGACGTGTTTTGTGAGCGGAGAATTTAGAAAAATAAATACACTTGAAAATAAAAAAGAAAAAAGCGAAAAGGACGCATTTTATTACATTTAATGACTTAATGGTGGTATGACCATTAAAGTGAGGCACTGACATGGAGTTGAGGTGTGGAAAATGTAAAAGTGGCTCGCGGGAGGCCACTATCCCGTGTAATGGTGTTTGTGGAGGTGTGTTTCACGTTAAATGTGTTGGCTTCTCCAAGTATGAGACGGATGCCTTGTTGAAGCATTCGAACTTGAAGTTTTTATGTGATACATGCATTGACTATATCAAAGGTGCACATAATAGTTACAAAGAGTTAATTGAGTTGATTAAAGAAAATGGAAAAAAATGTGAAAATATCGTTGAAGAAAAAATAAGTAAAGTGAACGAAACTGTAAAGCAAATTAAAAAGATAATCACAGACAAAAATAAAGAGAGCCAGGTCGAAGTAAGAGCGACCTACGCAGACAAACTAAAAGGTGGAGCGGCGGGAAAAGCACCTGTCATATTGAAGCCTAAAACAAATCAAGAAAGTGAAGTAACGAAAAAAGAAGTAAAAACAATAATTCAGCCATCAAAATTGAGTGTTGGAGTGAGCGGAATAGCTAATAGACAAAACGGAGCAGTGGCAATACGTTGCGATAGCGATGAAGCAAGAAAAATATTAGTTAACGACATTAAAGAAAAAGTGAGCGAAAAATATGATATCCAATTACCAACTATGAGAAAACCAAAAATTTTAATAAGTGGTCTGAGTGAAGTGCTAGATGGAGAGGTAATCATAAACGCCATAAAAAGCCAAAACAATTTGAAGGATAGCTATATGAAGTGCTTAAAAGTACATAAATCACCCAAAAATCCAGCGGTGCACAATGCATTGCTGGAAATCGGCGGAAAAGGTTTCGAAAAAGTTATGAGTTTAAAAAAAATAAACGTTGAATGGGATAGATGCAAAGTATATGAGAGTAATAATATTTTAAGATGCTTTAAGTGCTGGGGCTTTAATCACAAAGCTGCAGGATGCAAGGAAAATGACCAAATATGTGCCAAGTGTGGCGAAAAGGGCCATACGCATCATCAGTGTACATCTGAATTGTTGAGATGTGTGAATTGTGTGAGAGCAAAACAAAGGTTTAATCTGGGTAGCTTATGTGTAAATCATGACTGCAGAGACACTTGTTGCCAATCTTTACAAAAAAAATTAAAAATTGAATCTGAAAGGATTCAGTATTAGCAATTAAAGTCTAATATAAATTGTTTGTATTTGAACATTGGCGGTATCAGGGCGCACTTCAACCAGCTCGAAGCCATCTCATTTGATGAACAATTCGATTTTATTTGTGTAACTGAATCCCATGTGACAAATAGTGTGCAAAATAATGAAATAGAACTCAGTGACTATAAATTAGTGAGATGTGATAGTATATCGAACCATACAGGAGGAGTACTTTTTTATGTAAGCACGAAGTGGCAATTTGAAATAATAGAAGAAATTGCAATCGGAAAAAGTATATGGTGTCTGACTATAAAAGTAACTTGTAAAAATATAAAATTGACATTGGTTGGTCTGTACAGATCGCCAGATAGGCAAAGTTGCCCAGAAAGAGTATTTTGTGATTTTTTCAACGAAAAAATAGATCAATGGAGTGATACCGCTGGTGAAACGCTAATAATGGGTGATTTTAATATAGATTGGCTTGTAAATAACACATACAAGCAGCAAATTTTTCAAGCAGTTTCAGACAATGCGTTCACGCAAGTAGTGTCAGAACCAACAAGAGTTACAAACACTAGTGCTACATTGATCGACTATGTAGTGACTAATATGCCCGATGTTGAAGCTAAGGTGAACATGAACTATAAAATAAGTGCTGGAAAATGTCCATGGTGGTACCAGTGGAAAAAGTAAAAAGCGCGGTTAATCCAGAAGAGTTCCGGCCAATCAACATGTTAATGACCGAGAGTAAAATACTTGAGAAAGTCGTACACAAGCAACTGGAAGACTATATGGAGGAGAATCAACTGATATCCGAAAACCAGTCAGGATTCAGGCAGCGACATAGCTGTGAGACAGCGTTAAATTTGGTAATTTCGCACTGGAAGTCAGAAATGAACGAAGGAAACTGCATAGCCGCTGTATTTCTGGACTTCAAGCGAGCCTTCGAAACAATAGACAGGTCTATTCTGATAGAGAAAATGAAAAGGTACGGAATTGATGGTGTGGAAAATCAGTGGTTCGGAAGCTACTTGAGTAACAGGTGGCAACGCACGAAAGTCGCAGAGGGCATCTCAGAGCCTGCACAAATAACACTAGGCGTGCCACAGGGTGCCGTGCTTGGTACTCTTCTGTTCTTAATATACATTAATGATATGGAAAATATACTACAAGGAGTTAAAATCTGTCAGTTTGCAGATGACACACTATTATATACGTCTGGAAAATCAAGTCAGGAGTGTATAGCTAGATTGAATTATAATTTGAAATTTGTCTATAACTACGTTAATATGAACAAGCTAAAACTCAACGTAAAAAAAACGAAAGCAATTGTGATCAATGGCGAATCTGAAGATAATATTATAGTTAACGATGAAATAATAGATAGAGTTGATGAAATAAAATATCTCGGCATTGTCATTGACAAAAAGCTAAATTTTGATAAACACATAGATTACATCTGCAGGAAAATCTCAAAAAAAATTGGATTTTTTCGAAGAATTCGCAAAAATATATCTGTCAGCAGCGCCGTGAAGATATTTAATGTAATGATCAAGCCACACTTTGATTACTGTTCAACCATTTTATTCCTGGGATCAACACAGATGAAAAACAGGCTGCAAAAACTACAAAACAAAGGGATGCGGTGTATACTACTATGTAGCAGGCTGACGCCAATCACCTATATGCTAGACACACTGCAATGGTTAAATATTAATCAAAGAACCACTATGAACGTACTCCTTTTTGTGTTTAAAATGAAATATCATCTATTACCAAAGTACTTAACGAGTCAAATAACATATGTGGGAGATGCGCAACCCTACAGCTTAAGAAACAAGAATGATTTTAGAATCAAATTTCATAAATCCAATAAGGCACAAAATGTTTTAATGTATAAAGGTCTAAAACTATTCAATGAATTGCCAAGCAATATAAAAAACGAAAGAAATATTAATGTATTTAAAAGACTGATAATATATCATATTAGAGAACATTATAGCTCACAATAAGTCAATTAACTATTCTTAAGATACATTTTGTATTTCTAAACTGTACCTGAAAGTTTTAAATAGCTACGGCTAAATAAAGAACTACTACTACTACTACTACTACTACTACTACTACTACTACTACTACTACTACTACTACTACTACTACTACTACTAAAACTATCGATAGTTATTTCATGTGACCAGACTATCGATACTATCGATAGTATCGTCGATAGTTTGACAGCTCTCCTTTCCATATCCACTTATTTAGCTCGCTATAAGCACAAATTGTTCAAACCAGTCGCAGAAGAAAGGATTAAAAATGAATTACAAAAACTAAAATCGAAAAACGCTGATGAAGTTACAGATTCCCCAAATTCTGAAACAGCCGAAGGAATGGGAATGAAGAATTATTTTTAAAAAGCTTTACAAAAACCTGACACATCTGGTTTGGCTTGTAAGCGCTGTTTAAACAACGATCTCGCCATTATGCTAGATTCTAATTGTTTCTTAAAAATACTTGACATCCGCATTCGCATCCGCATCCGCGGATGTTAGCTTTTAGATATTCGCATCCGCATTCGCATTCCACATTCGCATTCCACATTCGCAACATCCCTAGTACATACGAACGTATTGATAACACAACTTTTTCATAAACGTTAATTTCTACATTGTATTGTGTTTTACTTTCAGAACTCGAAAATCAAACGAGTCGTTAGCGCTTCAAAGTAAAATTGTACTTACACGAAAATGAAAAAATTTACTTTCAAGGGGGTTCTTGATGGTTTCCGACAAAGCGTGCAACCACAGGTGTTCAGACAAGAGCTGGAAATACCAGAACATTTAAGGACCGAACATTTTACGCTTAAGAGGGTAAGTATATGCTTGTACTAACTGCTGGTGGTAGCTGTGAAAAAACGGAAAGTAATACAAAATACTGAAATGTTGTAGCTGGCGTTTGTTTTATTTGGTAGCTGTTTCTGAATCTATCATAAGACACACGCGGCTATTACATTTCTTTAAAGCCAACATTGTATGTTTACTGGGTGTTGTTCTAAAAGAGACAATTTGAAAAAAAAAAAACGGTTCTTAATTTTAAAATTCAGGAAACACCGTTAACCGGATATTTGCCTTTAATTTTTCGCGCTTGAATAACGCTTACAGTAAATTAAACTATTAAAATATTAGGGCAATTCATCTAAATGCGTAAATGCCTTGTAACCATATAAACCTCGTCAACTTACTTAATTTTGCATGGAAAATCGGTTTATTTATGAGGCTTACGGGGTTAAGAGGCTTTTACGCGTTTAGATGAATAGCCATAATGACTTTCATTTAAAAGACAATTGAATGAAATAAAGTTATTTAGATTAATAGTAAAGCAAACATTATGTCTAATTCATATTCAAAAGTTTTGGGAACAGCTATTTTTTGTTTGCTTTGTTGTTAAAAACCGCAACCTTTCCTTTTTATATACAGTTGTCCTCAAAATAATAGGAGTGGGATATTTTGACCGATTTTTTGGCTATTTGTCTTTTGTTTATTTAATGTTTATTATTTTGTTTTACAAAAGTCTAGCTGGTAATACAACAAACACCATATAAATTTACATTTCAAAGTTTGTACAAAATTTATCAAAATTCTGCAAATTTTCACCAAAATTTCATACTTTCTAATCAGAATCTTTAAAAAAAAAATGAAGTGCAAGTTTCAAGTTGGTAAACAATTTCTAAAACATATACATATGTATTTCAATTGTTTGGATAAATATTTCCGGGTTTTTACTTTACTTTTACTTTTTAATCAAATAATTTCGTGAATAAAAAAATCGAAATTAAGAAAAAACTCATATGATAAATGTGCAGATATTTTACATAAACGCATATCTAATAAATTTATTCTAAAGGGTATTAAAGCGTATGCTTAAACGAGAATGCCTAAAAAAAACTGTTCTCTAGTTGATTCCAAAGCACATTGATTAGCTCCAATTTGAAAAACATACGTATACCAAAAAGGAATCTTCGAATGGGAATTTGATTGTATTTTTGTATGGGGAAAAAATTTTTCATCCTAGAAAACGGGGCACCCCCTTAGTTTTTTCCTTTTGATATTTGTAATACCTATACCAACTTTCAGTTTTTTACTGCAACCAATTCAGGGTGCTCAATGACCTTGAAATGCGCTATTAGAGCGCTGTGAAACTGGCAAAAATATTGGTGATTTTTATAAAAAGCTACTGTTGCCATGCTTGTGCGATTTTTTTAGATAATTTAAATTTGAAATGTTCTTAGGATACTTAACAAGTTGTTTGATTAATATATGTATGTACACAATACTTCTAGAGTAAAATAGGAGCATCATGAGCATCCCCTAAATTTATACATAGAAACGTAAGGTTTGGTACCAGCACCTCCTTCGGCAAGTGGAAAAATTTTTGGTACGCATACCATGGCGTCTTTTATTTGTGTGTATTTGCCTGTGTGCTTATTTCGCGCATTTTCATGACCATTCATGACTAGCAAGCAACAAAGCCACGTCATTTCAGCATTCTTCGCTCTGATATTTTACGAAAATTATAAAAGTTTTCGAACAATACAGGCATTCGCTAAGTCTTACAAAACTCTTGCACTGTGCACGGATTGCCATGTAATCTACCAACACCGTGCAGGGATTTTGCAAGGCTGAGTTCGTTAGTGTAAGTTCGGGCCAAGAATCATCGAGTGAAGAATAAGAAAGAAAATGAGGAAGCAGAAACCACGAATGAAGTAACACATGAAAGTGATTCATCGAAAATCGAAGCGCTGCCAGAGAAATTCCGATAATCGCTTGAATTCGATATCAAGGAAAACTTCCCGCGTGAACTAACGGACCAAGTCTAGAGGTTTGTAAAGCAGCCCCTTGACTCGACAATATATCGACAGGCCCTGTGCGGCATTCCCAGGGAGTCGGTCCCAAGTTACGTAGACTCCAGACCTGTGAATGCCTTTCTGCGCACACAACCACCTTACGTGGACGAGACGGAGCTTCGTCTTCCTCGGGAGACTCGGACCACAATAGCCCAGCTTCGCCAGAACATCACCTGCATGACGAGGCGCAAATGCTCTCTATAAAGGAGCACAACACAATGCTCTGCAAGCAATTCGTAGTAGGGAGCCACAGACTTTGACACCCGAACAGACACTTGCTTGCAGAGGAGCCCTCGCCAAGGCATGTCAGAGATACGAACTGACGGGCGAAGTCCAGAGGTTCATTAAACAACCGCTGGACCCAACCGCATACAGACAGGCCCTGAACGACATTCACAGGGAGTCGGTCTCAAGTTATGTAGACTCTCGACCTGTGAATGCCGTTCTGGGCACGCAATCACCTAACGTGGACGGGACAGAACACTGTCTGCCTCGGAAGACCCGCACCACAATAGCCCAACTTCGTTCTGGCTACTGCAGTAGGTTGAACTCATACTTGAGCAGACTTGATGCAGATGTGCCCAATGAGTGTCCGGCATGCGGAGAGACATCCCAAGACTCGTGATATCTCTTCGCATGCTCACAAAACCCAACTCAACTGATGCCTTTGTCCGTATGGACAGACCCCATAGAGGCGCACGCTTCTTCGGTCTCCCGTTAGTTGAGCTTGACGACAACTACTGAGAGACTATCCGATCTGGGCTACAACAACAACAAAACAGCAACATCAACGAATTTCACCAACCGATGAGGGTTAAAAGGTTATGTTTGCGGTTTCAACAGAATAAAAATATATTAATTTTACAGCGAATTTTAAGATGTAAATGCATAAATATTCTAAATGAAAACCCCGGGTTATTCGATATTCGAAATACCAGAATTAACAAAAAAAAAAATCGACCAAAAATTTGGGAAAAACCCATAAACTCATTTAGCAAAAACCATGTTTTCACCTCGTTTTATTAGTTTGGGATTTAACTATGTAATATTGATGTGCCTAAAAGATGCAGCGATTTCCATTCTCAAGTCACATACCTGATGACAGTACGAATTGGAGTTGCTTTAAATTTCCATTCTTACAGGCCTGTTCTGCTTATTACTGTATATTTTGACACCGGAAAATTTTGCTACCGAAAAATAACACCACTTCTTGTAACCGCAATTCTAAGTATTTACCTTGGTAACAATTTAATCTATTTAGCAATTCAGCTATGAAGTTTTGTATAAATTCTGCTGTTGCATATTTTACGGGGCAATATTTTGTTACCTCCCAGCTCGGCGCACTGTGTTCTGTTTTAGGAAAAAATGGACAAAATCAAATATCTCCCGATCCAAACCAGATAGAGACATAAACTAAACGGCATTATAAAGCCGAAATATTGATGAATAGGGGAAAATTATTCACATTTTTCAAAAACACTTTTTCGACCTTGAATTCCAAGGACAAAGTTCAACTAAAGAAATATATATTGCTTTCATATATATATTTTTTGTATCTACCGATCGAAAATTAATAGAGACCTAAATGAAATAGTATTTTAAACCTCAGGTATTGCTGAAAAGAGCCAAACTGTTTCGCTTGGTGAAAAATAATTATTCTGAGGCCAACGATCAACTAATAAAAAATAATTTTTTTTTCTGATTTAACATAGCTAAATGCGGTATAGTCGTTGCGCTGGGTATGCAGTTACAGTTGCATGGCTATATTCAATCCCGACTCTTGCGTCCTCGTTCACGCACTCTGGGCAACGTGAGCAACCCATGTGCAAGATGCGGTAACCAATCCGAGTGGAGCCTTGGGTCACGGCAGAAAGAGAGGGAGCTTCGGTGAGGCCACTCCGACTTATTCGGTTTAAGGGCTCGCTGAAGTCTGCAGCGTCTGTTCACCAGTAGGTGCGGCTGCAAGCGGGTGTCTGCTTGGAGCAAGCGGCTCGCTATATAAACGTGTATTTGGTTGCGAAACCACCCCCGTCCCAGCAATGGGTTGTGCGCTGGGCTTGGGACCCGCCACGTAAAAACCACTTCCAGTGAAGAAGCAAGGCAAAGCCTCGGATGACGTTTAAAGTACTACGATTTGAGGGCATGCGCCTGGAATGTCCGGGCCTTCAATGGGGAAGGTGCCTCTGCCCGGCTGGTTGATGTCCTCGTAAGGACAAAAGCTGACATCACCGCCATCCAAGAAATGCGTTGGACGGGGCAAGGCAAACAATGTCTGGGGCCTTGCGACGTCTACTACAGCTGCCATGTAAAGGAGCGCAAATTCGGAGTTGGATTTGTGGTGGGAGAGAGACTCCGTCGCCGAGTACTGTCGTTCACCCCGGTGGACGAGCGTCTAGCCACAATCCGCATCAAAGCGAGATTCTTCAACATCTCGCTCATCTGCGCCCATGCCCCGACGGAAGAGAAGGATGAGGCATCCAAGGATCTCCTTTATGAGCGCTTGGAGCGCACGTATGAGCGCTGCCCCCGTCATGATATCAAAATCGTGCTTGGCGACTTCAATGCCAGGGTGGGCAAAGAAGGGATCTTTGGAACCACCGTCGGAAAATTCAGCCTCCACGACGAAACGTCCGACAACGGATTGAGGCTGATCGACTTCGCCGGGGCCCGAAACATGGTAGTATGCAGTACTAGGTTCAAGCATAAAAAGATCCATCAAGCTACCTGGCTGTCTCCGGATCGAAAAACGAGAAACCAAATCGATCATGTTGTGATAGACGGAAGGCACGCTTCCAGTGTTTTAGACGTACGCACACTCCGAGGCCCAAACATCGACTCGGACCACTATCTTGTTGCAGCCAAGATACGCACCCGCCTCTGTGCAGCAAAAAATGTGCGCCCAAATATGCAAGGAAAGCTTAACGTCGAAAACCTGCAATCAACAGACAGCCAGTGCTTTCGCTACTC